AATGGGTAGCTATTAGGTGTCGTAATATAACCTATAACAATGTAACCAAACGGGGCCCATAATTTTGGGAGCCATGCAATCTGACCCATTATAGTAGTTTCCATTTTCTTTTCCATCATCCCCATATATAACCCCAATATACCATGGCAGTATGCCTCTACAAGGTGCCTTGAGCCCACCGAAAACACCAGCGCCGGTCTAAGTCTTTCCTTGCTTATCACGGGCAAAGCTGCTTGCGTATATACATATATATATATGGGAAACTGTAGGGATTTTAGGGATTATCTAGGGTTCATGTAGGGTTTATATCGGGAATATATAGGGATAATGGACAAGCAAATGGAAACTACCATAATAGGATTATATTATGGGGTTTAGGGTTTCGGGGATTAGGAGGGTTGCATGTCTCGTGAAATCTTGCCGTTGATCCAGCCGCCAGGACATGCATCACACATGTTCATCAAGCATTCCGCCACACAACAGACAGGAGCCGTCAGTTCGCAAAAGTTGGGGCGTGGAGTCTTCATTGATGGATGTTTGGCGCGGCAACAGCAAAAAGCAACATCATGCGCACAGCACTGCCAGGAGGGAGGTCGGGAAGGACAGACCACCTCCTCAGAGACCTGCACCCGAAGGTGGAGGAGGATTCAAGCTGTTACCCCTTGCGTCGTTCCTCAAAGCCTCGCACATGGCTGCGCAACGAGAGCATTCACGCCGATAGCTGCCTCTTGCAGGACACGGAGCTCCGGCCCGACATCATCTGCAAGTCCTGTGAGCTGCAGCAATCCGCTGCCGGACGCAGACAGCCTGGAAGTGACGACACCGACACGAGAAGCCCAGCTTCCTGAACAAGCGGAGGAGCTGCAGCTCAGCCTTGAAACAAAGCTACTGTATTACTTCCAAATCCAGCGCAGACAGGCCTATCAACGTCGTACAATGTTAGAGGTACTACTAATTCGTACGCATCGCGTCACTTGCTTGGCGAGCGTGGCAGCGAGTGAGTTGTTCCACGGGTGCCACGCCCAAAGCGTCAGGACCATTGGCCAAGGCCCTGGCTCTGCGAAGCGGACCCCACGCTCCAGCGCCACCCTTATTTGCACATGTGTTGTTATACAAACACCTGGCTGAGTGCAGCACGTCAAGATCAGTTTGCCTTAGAACCTGCGGGCACAACTCGGTAGTGCAAGGGATCCAGCACCTGACGGTGGAGTTTCAGCCAGCATGGTCCCCAGACAACGTGACACGTGTCAAACGTGACACGTGTCAAACGTGACACGCGTCATGTGGGTTTCTCGAAACACAAAGCCTTGGGCGACCTACAGGGGCATTGTCGGGGTCCCAATGAAGGATTGTGATTTCGAGAAACTTTTACAGTGACTTGCTACAGAGTGAACTGCCGAGGCGAGATGTCTTCGACTGAGGAAGACGCGCGGCAGCTCCAAGAAGTTCTTCAGATGCAGATACGCCATGCTTTTGAGGAGTGGACATGTTTGTCCCGGCCAATGGATTCCGAGGCTGGTCGCGTTGACGTACTTAGTCCTCCGCGAGCTGTCCGAATACCGCCAGCTGGCGACAGAAGGATGTATTGCAGGGTTGCCATGGGAATGTACTGAGTCACCGAGTGCGCTTTGCATGTAAGACTTGCGCGTTTTCACCATTTAACTTCCAGCTCATGTCATCACAAGCATCTGCAAGAGGAATATCCTGTGAATTCGCGCTGCGCGTGTAGAGGTGTATGTACTGGCTTTGCCTTCAAACCTGCGGCCGGCAACGAACAATGATCGTGGTCCCTCATGGCACATCACGCTAACTGGTGCCTGGTGAGGACTAAAGGACTCTCATTGTCTAAGGGCTCAAAACATCCATCAAGAGAGTGTACTTGTCATCATCGCTGCTAACGCTGCGACTGGCAGCATACCTACGTGCATCCTGCCTGCTACAGGTTTGAGTCATGTAGTCATTACAAGTGCAAGTAACGCGAACAATACTAAACATCCTGCAGTAATCCCCTACTAGAACGCCATGAACCCCGAGACATCAGGTTCTTAGGGTCATGAAGGATTTTTGAGCATTAACAAGAGCACTCACAGTAAAGTCAGGCAGCCAGTGGATCTACGACAGCGGCTGGCAGACTGGAAGAGCACCCAGCCAGAATCGGAGCTCACCGAGACTGCGGAGCTTTGGAATTGAAAACATGTGACATACAGACCCGGGGATGAAATGGACATTGAAAGATGTTGCCCTGGGATCATGAAGGATTCTAAGGAAGCAGCTTCACTTGTGCTCTCCAGCGATGGTGGGTGGATACTTCTTTTCTGCTTCATGCTCGGAGGTCACAATTAGCAGTAGTTCTCTGAATGGGTGACAACTCTTCAGAATGCAACCAGCAATCAGGACAGCAGTAAGTTTGAGAGCCCCCGCGTACATGTTTGGCAGTCTGCTGGCTTTGTCGTAGCGCCCGTAAACACATTGGAGTTTGCTTGGTTTTGCTATCCTCCCACCCCTCCAACCATCATGGGTCTTATACGCGTTCCCTCCCACTGTCTTCAAGCAGCAGCTCTCTGCGTGTTCATCACCAGTGTTACTATGGTGTACCGTGTGCTGCTACTGACAGTATGGCTGAAATTTTCTCATTTTACATTGCAAGCGAAGTTTGCGCAGCATATTTGAAGCGTCCCAAAAGATTCGCTTAGGGTCTACATTTTGAGCCTGCAGGTTTCCATACATATAGGATCCTTCTCAACCGTACAAGTGGCAAGCAAAAACGCGGGCGCGCATGAACTCCTATACCCCCCGTATCCAAAGCGTGAAGCCATACGACCGGCATCACCTTAAGATTTACTGGCTAGTAAGGAACAAGGGAATATAATCCCTATAATATAACCCCTACATGATAATCTTCCATTCTTCTCCACTAACCCTAAACCCTAAATAGTAGGTTCCATGTTGTTTGCCATTATCCCCTTTTTGCCCTTGTATCCCCCTTCTTTGTACTAAGAACCAGTAGGTACAAAACAATCCTAAAACCAATAAGGAGGTGATTCCAGCTGCTCGGCTGCCATGCGGGTCCATGGGTCTCGCAGCCAGGAAGCGAAGGCCTGAATACTTGCTACATGGACGGGTTCCCAAGATTATGGGTCCCCTTGAAAGGGGGATATGTCGGGTATATAGGGGTTTACACAAGGATATGTTGGGCTTGGGGTTTAGGATTCAGGGTCTCTAAAATTAGGGTACCATATCAAGGGCTCCTAATATGTGGACCATAGGGTTGACCTGCAATTGCGCCTTGCCGTGCAACAGGCTACTTTAATTATTGCTTGAATCCGTCCAAAGCAGAGAGAGCCTTTCAAGAGGATGATGCCAGAAGTCTTCACACCGTCAGCAATGTGTCAGCTCTCAGTCCCCTGTACGCAACATCCTGGGCGGAAGCCACGAGCCCCAAAAGCGGTCACTGACATTTGTTGAGACAGAAGTCTGAATCAGCCCGGAGAGGCAAATGGCCTTCTCGCCTCCAAGAGCTATCGCCTTAGCATCAACTTCGGAGATTGGCGTACACATCTTGCTTTTGCAAGATGTCATCAGTGGGACACCGCTGCAAGGTATCGCCCCGAGCTGACCCAGTGAAAAAGGACCATCTTCCCAGTCATAACATGGCTTGACTGCGTCATCTGAGTTTGGATAGATTCCAGCTTCATGACCTCAGAATTTCAAAGCAGCTCATTTTTGCCTTTCAGCCTTGGAAGGCAGGACCTGCAGGTGTACGGCCTGTTTCCTGTGATTGGCGATCCATCGCGAAGACCGCGAGGTTGGGACAGCATTGCTTGATCATTGCTAGTGCACAATTGCTTGCAGCCGTTGCTGTGTGTGGTGTAGGACGCCCAGATCTGCATCATTACCGCAGAGAGCACAGAGGACGGCCACAAGCGTCCCCGTTCCAATGCCATCAGAGCGTAGACGCTTGCCTGGGCTGGTGTCGTTTGAGGCAACTCCAGGGTCATGCCTAGCTATAGCTAAGGGCGGGCGCAGCCGAAGCAGACGGCCGTGAAACCACCAAGCTGCCCAAGCTGTCGACCAACCTCGGCAACTTGCTGAGTTGTTTTTGGACGCACTCCTGTGCCCCACAACCGCAACCACAACATGGCTCTAAGGGATACATGCGACCACCGCTCTCCAGCAGACCTGAGCTTCCAAGCCGACGACTTCAGACTGCATCACAGCTCCAATTCAGAATGTGTCTCTTGTTAGAGGTGCTGCATCCTATTAGTGATCCCTTCATTTACCATCATCATCCATCATCCAGCAGATTGCATGCGCGGCCGTACACCACAAACATGTAGCGCGCTTGAAGAATTGGCGCACGGATGCTTTGTTGCCAGAACTATCCGATGATTCAATCGCCGCGGTCTAGCTTTGTTTGCGCGTGTATGTGTATACGAAAGCATGAAGCCCATGCACCCAAAATGTGCAGACAAATACCGAACCACACAAGGGCCCACATTTGGTTTGTTTGGACAAGGCAGAATGGGACCTCGGGGCCTTTGCGAAACCATCTCCGCAGCTAAGGTACATACGCGCCACAACAAGGCCTCTGAGGAGTGCGCAACCTGGCACCTGCATGAACCATTATGCACGAGTGACAACAGATTGCAATGAAATTGACTCTGTCTAAGGTGCAGCACCCATGCTGCTTCGTCGTGCAGTAGCGCCCACTCCGAGGCGTGCGTGGAAGCCGTGAGCCCGAAATGGTTGAACGGTGTGTCAAATGCTGAATCACGTTGGAGCTTTATATTCTTGAATTCGGCAGCCTCCTGCCGTCGCAGCTCAAGGGCAGCGCTAAGCAAAGATCCAATTGGTTGAGACAGCACATCATGTATGGCCTCATGAGCAAGTTGTGCGCAAGATCAAGCCTGCAACAGCCCAAGCAATCCAAACTCACAGCCTCCTAAGCCCCAAGGATGACAATCCCTTCATCAGGCGACACAAAGCTGTAGCCAGCAGCCATGACAGAGACACCAGATGCGAACCAAGCAGATGGGGGGCCATCTTTGGATGGTTACTTTGGTCAATGGAGTCTACCCTTTGAATGCAAATACCCCCAAAAAGCAAGGTGTGTGAAGGCTGCTCTTTCCCTGTGCTCTAAAGATCTTTTGTTGTTGAAATGAGCCACACTCTAAACTCCTTAAAGGACGGTTATACACGGGATTGGGATCATGTAGGGGACTACTATATTAAGGGGGATGCTAGGAGTTAAGACTATAGCGCACATAATGCCGCCAAGGCTATATGCAGCAGCACCAGATCCAGCCTTTTGTGCAGGACTGAATTTCCAGGATCAAGAAAAAAAGAGGGCATGGGGGGTTGTTCTAAAGGTCCTGGGAAAGAGGTTATACTAGTGGGATGTACAGGGTTAAGGGCTTGGGGTTGTTCTAAAGGTCCTTGTAGGGAAGGGACCATTAGGAATACATTTCCTTTAAAGCAAATCCTAGCCAAACCGGAAACCTACATTATGGCCATTTTGGGGACGGGTATGTTGAACAACTACCGCAGGGAGATGTCAAGAGGAATCATCTGGCGATCCACTATGGCTATCAGAAGCATCCGAGCAGAGACTCATGCCTTGTGACATCCCAACAAATGGTAGTTTCGCAAAATAAGGGGACCCCAATATAGACCCCAAATACGATAATCCTTATTATGGGGAGCCCTAAACAGGTACCCCTAATTTTGGGAAGCCTTAAACCCTGAACCCCCTATAAAATCCCATATAAACGCTATACAACCATACATCCCCCTTTAAAGGGGACCCTAATTTTGGGAAACCCCCAAATGCCCCACTTTCCCATACTCCAGTTGAGAATTCCAGGAGATGCTGACCGAGTTGTTTGCCGTTCTGCCAGAGGATCCATACGAGTACATGAGCTACGGACTAAATTTAGGATTTAGGTTGGGGGGACCTATAGGGGGACTAGATAGGGGTTGGAGGGGGGCCTATTCAGGGATATACTACAAATTTGGTCCAGGGCTCACATGAGCCTCCGGCTGAAGTTTCCACTGCGAAGTCTAACTGGCTTGATATCAGGCAGGGTGTCCGGAGACTGGTACTGTTGTAGGAGTAGTACCTGATGATAGGTAATGGTCATGAGTCATGACGCTAAGGACGTACCACTTGGCCTCTCGCCGCCCTGTGCGAGCGCCGCAGGCAGTCCTGGGTTGATGTCGAAGTCACGAGCTGTCCAATTGAGGGCCTTGAGGTACTCATAAAGCAAAAGAGCCTGAGATGGAAGCATGAGCTCCAAGAAATGCTGCAGAAAGGACCAGAAGCTCATCAGCAGCGGGGTGCTGTGGGCGTTGATACCAGGCGGGGACCCCATGTGCGGCGCCCAGAAGCATTTCAACAACGAGAAAAGCCACAAAACCAGCACCGATGGCACGGCCATGTTCACGAGGTCCCCGGAGCAGTGGCGATTACGGCGCTGCTGGTTAACAGAGAAGGGCAGGGGCCCAAGCGCACTCTTTGGCTGCAACATGCTGCCAGTATCACCCTGCCTTGCAGGCATACTGTGCGTCAGCAATTCCGCTGCGGAAGTCGCGCGGGACGACGCTGGCGGTGACATGCCTGAGCTAGTGTATGCAGCCTGCAGGGACGCGCTACCGGTATTGAGATCCCCACTGTCTCAGAGCTTTGGCTTAGAGTCAGGCGTGGTTGTTTCACCACTCGAAGATTCTGCAACTCAGGACACACCCTAATCGTTCTTCAGTAGGCAGCCTTGAAAGATGTTGACGGTCCATGTGTAATGCTGGATGTTGGAGGAGTACCCACTCGAAAAGGGGGCCACCCACAGGCCTGAACTTACAAAAGCTTTATTATTTGGGTCCTACATACCCCTGTACGTACTATAGTCTAAACTCCTTAAAGGGGGTTATATAGGGGGTAAGGGGGATACTAGGAGTTTAGACAAGGGCTCATATAGTCCCCATATATCCCGCTATAACCCCTTTAAAGGGACCCTATTAGTTGCTGCTCCAACGCATTCTGCCTTGGCAGGGAGCTGGATGAGGCAGAAGCCGCCAGACCGTTTGCTTTCCAGGTGGCTGTCAAGCCCGGTCCACTGGCCCACAGAGCAGACAAGGAGTCAGGAAGTAGGGGTCTACATCCCAAAACACCATAAGGAAATCCTTACGCCCAACCTAAACCCTAAACCCTAAGTAGTAGTTGCCTTTTTATTTTCCATTATCCCAATACAACCTCAAGATACCCATCCCCAAACACCATGAGGAAAAGGGACCCCTAAAGTGCCGTGCCTTAGAATAAGCTAGGATAATGGAAAAGAAAATGGAAACTACAGGGATTATTGGGGTTATATAGTGTTATCCTACCTCTAGTTGACTTAATGAGGAGCAGGATGGTGGTCGTTGGGTTCTTCAACTGGCTGCTAGCTCCGAGGCCCGGCTGGCACAAGCCCGTTAATCTTCAAAGTCTCGTTGCACATGGCATGGCTGCCTGTGTCAGGACCAGCGCAACGAGTGGTTCAACTTGTTTGCGCCTTTTTCGCAAGCGGCAGTTCTGCCTCTCAGCCGCAAGTTGGGAGCCCGGTAACTACAGTTGTAGCATAGCCTTGGATGTTAGCAGGCCTTCGATGGCCCCGCCAACCGACCTGCCCGCCGTGACCGAGGAGTAGTCATCCTTTAGTCATGATTTTCCTTCACTGCACCAGCAATTATTATCTCTCAGTTGCTTCTGATCAACTTTAACTATATCTTTTCAGAAGGCGGGAGTCTCCTGAAAGCGCCCCGTCTCAGCTTCGCTGGCACATGTCTGTGAATTCGCAGCATGACTTGGCGGAGCCAACTCTACGTGTCACTCTTGGGCAACGCATACTACGATGCCAGTTCAAACCAGGATGGGCTGCCAAAGGTTAAGAGCTTAGATGTGATGCCCAAGCGTTTCAATGGAGGCACAGCGAGAAAGATTTGTTGCGCCTAAAATTCCCGCGGCGCAGCATCACAGCAGTGCAGCATTATTTGCATCTTCTGATTGATGGTGGCTTGACTGCACAAAGCTTTACGGCACTTCTCATGGCGTGTTTTTCAATGCTTGCATCGAGGTCTTAGTTCGACAGGCCTCTGCTGAATGTCGATGGCTAAGATGCCAATCTTCTTGTAATCTTGCTGGCGGAAGTCATCGAATCTCATCAAACTGCAAAGCAACTTGCAGGTACCAGAGGGACCTCGATGCAATCATCTCCCAGACGATGCGGCAGCCTGGAGGTCTCTGCTCCGAGCAGTGATACAGACTATTACCTTTGTCATTATTGTTGCTATTATAATTCGTATTCTTATATCTTCTTAATTTATTAGTATTAGTACCACTACTAGGTCAAGTCATCCCAACGATGCCTGCTTTCTCTCACCTGTGGAAAGAAGATGCTCATGATGAGGTGCGTGCAAAGGACTGCGTGTGGGCCTATCGCGGGGTTCGTCGACAAGTTGCCTGACACTCAGAACTGACCTGACATTGCAGATGGCAGGAAGTCAAGGAAAGTCATGTCTTCATCTTGATACTTGATGAGGAGGCCCCGCACCTTTACTTCGGACATGTGCCACGCACTTCGCTGGGTTCTGTGCACGATTCAGAAGTAAGCACCAAAAGCGATGGTGCTTCCTGAACGCCTGCTGGTCAGAAGTTACACAGCAGGTCCGTTAAGTGACTTCGCAGATTCCAGGCACGGGCGCTGCTAAAACGGTAGTGTCCAGTGGCGGTTTTTTGTGGGGGCAGCAATTTGCAACCTGCCTGCCACTGTACTTTGCATCATCACAAATTCACAGATGCCCGAATGGATCAAAAAGGTGGTATCGCCAATACGGTAAGTGCGGCTTTTGGGGAGTGATTGTCTGCTTGGCCTCCAGGTTCAGGATTGCTTCCAGAATTTTGGAGTATGGCAGAGGATGTAGAGATATGTAGAGCCTGCTTGCAGCTCCACTGCTTCGTCGCCATGCTGGGCTCTTCAGCATGCATCAGATACCATGGTAAGATACCTCATCAGAACATAAAAAGCAGAACCACATGTTCAAGCCCGTCAAAGTCATGAGAGCAGCGGCTTCATAGGTTGCCAATCTTGGAGCATGGGTCTTTTCAGCCATGCAGCGGCTTCCCTCACCTTCCCAGGCAACATGCTTGAGCGAAGCAAAGTTACTGAAGAAGCTGCGACAGCGAGTCTCCGCGCGATCAAGGGATCTTACACCGATCGCAGGGTCTGCTTGCACAAAGACGAGCACGCTCAGTCAGTGCTCCGTGAGCACTAGGAACTCCCTCTCAGCAAAATCCTCTCGATTTCCGACTGCGGGTCCTCCAATCGGAGTCAGTGCTGCGTTTCTGGTGTCTTGCCTTGTCGACGTCAATCCTACTGCTGAGGATGCGGGACCGACAACGCGGGCAGTAGCGACAACACTCCGACTTAAGCGTGAGGAGAACCGCGAGGCTGTACAGAGCGCAGTGGAGCTTGCAGAGATAAATCAGGTGCATCCACTTACGGGCGGTGACACAGCAGGACCCTGCTCGACACACGTCGCGCATGCGTGGGATGCAAGTTTTCCGGAGCTGGTCGACTGCTTAGTGCGTGATGCAGGCTCAGATCTGGACCGGCGGTATAGTTTGGACCTCTTCGGAGCCGAGCACCTGGCTGGAAACCTTGACACGTCGCCTGACAGTGCTCCGGCTCGAAGCCATCACGCGTCAGTGACGGGCAAGGGGACCGATGATCCAATAGGAGCAGTGCAAGCTCTTGTGCACGGCGCCAAAGAAGTGCTGTTAGTGTTGGACGCAGAATTGATTTGTTTCTCTCGAATTTGGGTCCTGGCTGAAGCCATGCTGGCTACGGCTGCCAACAAGCTTCGCATTGTCACCTCCGCTCCTGGGGGTTACGGCAGCTCAGTCGATGACATTCTAAAGTGGGAATCACGCATTGATGCCATTGACTGGTCTCTGACGGAAGCTAGCCGCAAGAGTGACGAGCGACGGCTTCGCACCTTCAGCGACCGCGTTTGGGACGTGCATGGTATCGGGAACGAGCGGATGCTGGCGCAGCTCAAGGTGCTGCTGAGGAAGGAGGTATATGGCCAGGTGCTGATCAAGGACGGATGAGCTCAAGATCATTCAGAAAGTGTTTATTACATACTGCTAGGTGATCAATACATTTGCAGTCATCAAGCATAGTAGTAGTAGTAGTAGTAGTATTGCATATATAGTAGTGCCGCGGAGCACGCAGCAAGTTCGCAGGCTGTCGAGGCTGGAGATTGGAAGGCCATCGAAGCCGCGCTGGACCGAGGCCCGGAACTCATTCCGGCGTGCTGCAAGCATGGAAACTATTATATACATAGGGGTGATATTGGGCGTATATAGGCATAATGGAAAAGAAAATGGAAACTGCCATATTATAGGGGGGCTATACAGGGTTTATATAGGTGCTTTTTCAGGATAATGGAAAAGAAAATGGAAACTGCTATATAGTATACGTGTCCTACAAGCCGCCAACTGTCCCGGAGACAGTTCTGCATGAGGCGCTTCACTCGAGCAGCGCGACGCAACCCTGCGCTTTGTTGTGACACGTTTGCCACTTGTGCCCTGCGCATCGCATAACTGCATTCAGACGATAGAGGTTCGCATCTCGTGCTATCAAAGGAGCCACTTCCAAACTTAATGCAACAATGAAATGATGCCCCACTGATACCGACCTTGCTACAATATACAAGTGCATGCCGGAAGAGGCTATAAATTCCAAACACTTGCATGCATCGCAGTTGCCAGGCAGATGGCAACACATTAGAAGACCTGGCCTGCTTCTTCAACCATCAGGCAATATGAGATCCTAATCCCCATAAATATATTATAGTACATTATAGTATATTACAGTACAATGTAGTAAAGTAGCAGAAAATTGAGTATAGCACTATATAGTATAGGGGTTATATTGGAGCATCATAGGGATAATGGAAATCAAAAACTACTTTATTATAGGGGGAGGGTTCTATAGGGTTTATATAGGGGTATTACCTTTGAGGAAGGACGGTCATGCTACTTCTTGTCAAGGATATCGAGGAGATGCTGTTTGAGAGGCTGGGCCCCAAGACAGACCAAATCAAGAGCATGTGGGTGGTTGTCAAAATTATGGTCCCTTTTTGGGATCCCTATTATAGTACGGCACCTAATATTTAGGGGACCCAAAAAGGGACCATAAATTTGACCACCACCCATGTGTCAAAAGTTTTGGCGTGTCCCTGCTGAGGCGCATGCGAGGCAAGGCTCACAAACCCTTGTCCATGTTTTTCCGTGCAGAAGACCTGATGGAAAACTGTCAGATGCTCAGCATGGCTGTATTTGGTGGTCTTGTGTTTTGCGTCCCGGATGGTGCACAGCAAAGGCTCCGATGCCTTCCCTGAAGTCCTTCTGCCATTCATGACCCAGCCGGCGGGTAGCTGCGCTCAGCTTCAGCTTCCACTGCGTTTGTTTTGCCGCCTGCTGGATCCTCGTTGCTGTTGCACCAACAACAACTCGGTCGAGGCTTTGCAAATGGTTCAGATGCCGCTCGGGCATGTTGATATTGCTAGACCTTGAGGCATGATTTAGAAGTGCGCTTGGCCGCGGCAACGTCTGTCCAGGAGGAGGATGATGAGGAGGAGACCTGGCGGTATCTTGCAAGTTTGGAGCGCAACGCGCTTGGGACTCAGTGATAACTGGAACAACTAGCTGAGTCCGCGCTGCTCCGACTGTCGGTGCATTGCTTTGCAGGTCTTGAGAGGTGGGATTCCATTTCAGAATGGATCTCTTGCTCATGCTGCTCCGCGAAGCTTGGTGCAGTCCAGTTTCACCATGCATGATCCATTGGCCTCAGCGCGCATGCAAGCAAATGCTTGTGATCCGCGCCGCTCCTATCACGTGCCTCTTTCTGCCGGACATCAAAAACACGCGGAACGAGCAAATCATGCCTAGGCACGATTGCACAGGGAGGGTAGCTACCATCTAGGTCTGCAAACTGTCGTACGACGTCATCAGCACGCAGAACAGCAGAAGCGCAAAAAGCGCAAGTCAACATCCGATGTGAGCAAGGATGACCAATAAGATCAAGCAGGATGATCACAACATGGCTACGGCGTGGGTCCCGACATTTCTCTCAGATCACAACGTCATCCCTGTCCAGTGCCCAAACGCCACAAGAAACACTCACGGTGCGGAATCAATGACAGTAAAAAATGGTGGAACCTCCACCCGAAAAAGTTACACAATGGGAGGCAATGATCAATCAATATTGCACATGAAGAGAATCAGCGTAGTACTAGGGAGGTCAGTGCCAGTACTGCGGCAGTAGTAGCTGCAGGAGGAAGATATCAGCACCCAGTAAGCATCGTGCCGATGCTAAGATGGGGCACTGGCCATGCAAGTCCAAGCATGTCAGCGGCTGTGGCATTCCGCAGGAGCCAGCGCAAGCACTTGGAAACAACTGAGCTTCATAGGGATGATATGGAGCCCCATAGGAAGTGGCATAGGCATCAAAAAAAAGATTTGACAAGGCATCAAAAAGAAATNNAGAAATTTGAGCGTTTCAGCTTGACTATTTATTACTAATATTATTCCTATTATTATTACTACTACTATTAGTATTACTAGTACTATTACTATTACTATTTTCTGGCCTTCAAATTTGTTTTTGATGCTTATTCAATTTTTTGATGCCGGGGCGCCAAGATTCAAATTTTTTCTTGATTTTTACAATCAAAATTCGTTTTGATGCTTAGCAAAATTTGTTTTGATGCGTCAGCCATAGGAAGTTTGATCATGCATCAGCAACCGAACAGGCGCTTCCAGAGATTGAGGGGTCTCGTTTTACATCGTTATTTGGAGTTCCGTAGAGTAGGGATGGCAGTAGTTTATTTAGCGGCACATGAGCTATAGTCTAAGAGTCTAAGTGCTTGAAAGCGGGTTATCTAGGGGAGCATTATAGGGTTTTAGTAAGGGGATACTCGGAGTCTAGACTATGGCTACTACACGGAACTCATGTATTGGAAACTCCTAGACGCAGGATCGCTGTCGAACCACCTGGGCGCCAGGAAGGTGGGAGGGTTTGCTTCAAAACCTGTTTGCTAACTTTGGTGGTTCAAGGGTTCAGGGGTTTAGATTTCAAGGTTTTAGGATTCAGAGTTTAGGGTTTAGGGGCACTATTATTATCATTATTATTATTTCTATTACTATTACTATTGATATTGCACCCTTAGATGTGGCTTCAAAACCCTGAACCTTAAAACCCTAAAACCTACAACCCTACACCTTGGCGTACCCTCAGAAACCATAGGCGGATAAGGGGATTGCAGGGAGAGATTGCGAGTAGGGATGGCGTATGTTTTGCACCATGGGGTTTAGGGTTCAGGGTTTAGGATTTAGGGTTTAGGGTTCAGGGTTTAGTTCAGGTCTCAGGATTTAGGGTTAGGGTTTAGGGTTCAGGGTTGAGGATTTAGGGTTTAGGGTTTAGGGCAAGTATTATGGACAGCCGTATACCCCCTACGTGATCCCAGTTTCCATTTCATTGTCCATTTTCTTTTCTATTTGCTCCGGTATTGGGGTAATATCTCGAAATCCTGAATAATGGTTTCCATTCGTTTCCATTCTCCCTTTATAATCCCTACAAGTACACCTATGTAACCTACGTAGGAGATGATCCCTTTACAACTCCCATCTTGTCAGTCGTCCCAAGCCTTGACGTCAGATTACCCTAAAGCCTGTTTGGGGGTTTCCCAAAATTACGGGGACCTTTTCTGGGGGTCCCTGCAATAAGGATTGTAGTATATTGGGGTCTATATTGGGGTCCCCTATTTAGGGAAACTACCATTTCCCAAAACGAGGCATACTTTGAATTAATTTGGCAGCAAGGCGAGCCGGTGCCTCAGCATTACAGGGCTATATACGGATTGTATGCATTTGTATGAATACTACCCCAATATTAGGGATCATATAGGGATGACGGAAAAACGGAACGTACTATTGAGGGTTTAGGGTTTAGGGATCTTACCCTTATAATGGAGGATGCAATGGCAGAGAAAATAGAAGAAGAAATGGAAACGTGCATTCTGTGAGGGGGCGCAAGGCTTTGCACACCAAGCATCACGGGCAATTTGCACGAAAAGATGCTCAGAGAGTTCATTCCAGAGGCAGAGGGGACCATCGATTTGCAACAGAGCTGGTGCCAACCTAAGTGTGCCGACAGGCGGCTGAGGATTGCACAGGCAGAGAGCTACCCCCTTTACACTGCTGGGACTGCAACGAGAACGTGAGTGCAAAGCCGTTTAGACTTGCTCTCACATCGTGCTTGAAAAATCTCCCGACAGTTGTAATTGCTAGTTCCCGCATCTGGACGGCCTTTTCTTTTTGGTGCTTCCCCAAGCATCAGCACTTGCATGTTACATCTGACAATCCACTGAGTTGCAAGCAGCCGGAGTGGGACATCAGCAGCAGCCCCACTTCTGGAACCGGTGATTCAGTGATCCGTAACACTCGAGAGACAAGCGCGAAATAGCGTAGTCTCGGATTACGTGATGAGGCGATTGCCCTGAGTCAGCAGCTGGCGCATCTCGCAAGGCGGGCTGGAGGTCTGAAAGAGCGCATGCACGCAGAAAGATGGGAAAGGGAACCTTAGAATACATACCAGCATCCCCAGGCAACATGCTCTGCAAGATGCTTCCAAGAAGGCAGGAAAGTTGCAGTGAGACTTGTCCTGGATCTTCATGGCAATGCAGGATGCTGCCGACGTATGTGACCGATTAGCTCGGAACCTAGAGACAGGGACATTGGCAACTTCTGAACTGCCATGGGAGTCATGTTGATGATATTGAGGACAATACTACCACTGGTGACTGTGGTTCGAGAATGTTCGAGAACTAAATCATTGACTGGAGCCGCTGTTGCGCTGGGCACAACCGCAGCACATCACCCTGCTCTTCACAGAAACTACCTGAGATGTTGCGAGCCTGCACCTGCTAATCAGCAAGAGGAGATGCCCGATCTTCTGAGGATACCCAAAACTCTTATAGAACAGCACCCTTTTTACGTGAACGTGTGGGTCAGATATGTTTCACCAGGCCCGACGACTGAAAACAGAGCAGCAGCCTCAGACATGATCATGTAGCAAGAAGAGTGCTAACATTTGATCGTCAACCAAGATCATGGGAATGTATTGCTGTCAAAGATCAAAGCGGGCAAACTCAGTCTAGAACTTTTCGCGCCAGGTCTTCAAGCTTTCGATCCAATGATGTCGCAAGCTTGGAATGCTGAAGCTGGGAGGCCTTTCCAGTACGCCAATGGCCTCAGATGTCTTGGCAGAGGTGATTCAGCTGGCAGCGTCTTTGCAAAAGCCTGGACCTCATATAGGGAGGTCGGGTCATCTCACCTCGGCTGGGTTTTTTTTACCCATCGAGCAGTGTCCAAACTGGGGACCCAGTTCAAAAGCATCCACTAGAATAAATGTCATACAAAAGCTAGTCTTGCAATTGTGCCGTTTCTACAGCGTTCACAAGGTTTCAGCTCATGATGCGGCATGCCTGTATGTTATCGCTGTCTGTTGGATGCTGTGTCTCACTCCCGGAAATACCAGATGTAAGACATTTCCACATCCATGCTTTTCTTCGCAACTCATCAGCCCATGTTAAGTCATGTCTAAAACCGGCCTCTATATGGGGACTCATACGAAATTTGAATCTTGTGATGTTCTTCTCAAACCCCAGCGTCCGCAGCAGGAAAATCCACCCTTACGTCGGGTTGCCCTGGAATCAGCGTCTACATGGGGGGTTACCATTTTGTGATGTGTAAAAGTGTACATATCCCGCTGATGTGAAATCTTCCCAATGCCAGCGTCCGCAGTAGATGATGTGTGTCCTCACCGAGTCATGCGGGTTCACCCAAGCGCTAGTAGCACACTTGGCCGATACTCAATCGTCAGCTCATAGTGCCTGGAAGACAGCAAGCCACTCACACGAAGCTGTGGCGATGTCGTTGAGCAATGTTGAGTCACCACACTCTCATACATGGTATGTTCCATAAACGGGGTGACTCCAGTATAGACCCGATGCTACAGTCCTCAATATAGGTATCCACAAAAAGGGACTCGAATTTAGAGGCCCCCCCAGAGCTTCTTTGAAGCCAGGTTGAGACAGCGAAACACGCTCCTTTTGGAGACCATGGCCTCCCATGCCTGACTCCTATTGTTTAGGGGCAAAGGTTTTATAGTCCCTCTTAAGTGGATAGAATATGGCTTTAGGTATGCTATAGTAAGATCCCCATATACCCCACATTCTATCTACTTAAGGGGGATGATGGGGTGATTGGTAGTTGATCAACCTGTCCATGTCATGTTCCTTTTTCCGCCCACTTGATTCTCCATTCTCGGAATCTATAGATCCATCTTTGGTAAAATCCCTAACTAGGGGAACCCCAATATATACACCCCAAACTACTCTTCCCTTATTCTAGGGACCCTCAGAAAGGTACCCCCAATTCTGGGAAACCCGAAAACTCTAATCCCTAAACCGTAATCCCTAAACCTTATGTACCCCTTTATAACCCCTATAGAAGCCTTTATAACCCCTTTAAAGGTACCGCGTGTATGGGCTTCGAGCTTTCCTCAAACGATCCCTGAAATCATCCTACATAGGCATCCATCCCCATAAAGGGAGTATAGGAGTAATATGGGGAATAGGTTTCCTAGAGTCCCTAGCTTACACCAATTTGCTCAGCTTTTGGCCCATAGGTTCT